CACACACAGACACACAGACACACACACACAGACACACAGACACACAGACACACAGACACACAGACACACAGACACACAGACACACAGAGACAGAGACAGAGACAGAGACAGAGACAGAGACAGAGACAGAGACACACACACACACACGGTCGTAGACACCCATACAGACAGACAGACAGACAGACTCCCATGTGTCCGGGAAGTTCTCACACACACACACACATACGCACCCACAGCGCAGATGCAGAAGTATCATGCAACCCCATATACCTCTTTGGAACCATCTGTGCATCTATACCGAGTTGGCTTTGGACCGATGTTGCTGCCCGGCAGGACAACTTTCGCCGATGTTTGGTTGGAAGCCAATCCCGACATGCCGGGACACACCTTCGATCCTACACAGTGCTCTGGTGCTCCAACGGAAGGTTTCGCTGCTTTCACGGGAAACGAAACACCTGAACCTTGCCCCCGAACCATGGGAGTTCGCGCCCCAGCAGTGTGGGGCCAACCGCGCCACCCCACCGAGAAGTTCTGAGACCGGCTAATCTTCTCTTGTGATCATCTTTCCACAATTGTGCTTCTCAGCCTCGCTGACATGCTGTTCTGTCGGACATTAGTCTGGACACCCTGAGGCGCCCTAAACCCGAACCTCTAGGAATGCCGTTGCGCGGCGCGTGGTCATGGCTGTGGGTGGTTCACCGGAGCCCCGGCGACTGGACCGGGGCTTCTTCGAATGGGCTATAGGTTTCAGGAGCTAAGAGACTCAGATGGAGGCTGATGGAGGTCTTAATATAGTGTGGCCTCCAGAGCACATGGCGTGCTGACGCCTTCGAAGCAGGACCGGATTTATGTCCACTCCGACAGCGGGCCGTGGCAGTGTCATGCTGAGCTGACTTTAACCCGGAGCTTCCCGGTCGAGGCCGCCTCAGCCGAGAAGGGATGAATTTGGGGCTATGGGACAGCAAGACATCATGCAAACTCATGCTGCTAGCTGTTGGTTGCTACAGTGCCACGACAGCAACGGCAAGTGGACCAGATGAACAGAATATGGAGAGTCGACGATAAAGATGACGAACGCAGAGCCTGCGACGCCGACGACGCCTGCGATGCCTGCAACTCGGAGGAGGAGGGGAGGAGGAGGAGGATGATGGAGGATGTCTACCGAAACGACAAAGGTGCTGACTATGACTGCGCTGCGACCCGCTATTTCTTCGTGCGATGTATTGCCGTTCTACTTCCAACGTTAACTGCGACTGCGACCGCGACGACTGCTTTGTTCGGGCTGCGACCTGTTGGCGGTGCAGCTCAGCTGCTGCCAACTGCTATAGCTAGCGCCCAAGCTACTGCTATCAGACCCTGTGATGTTCCCACGAACTGCTGGTGCTGTAACGGCGGCTACATGCAAGCAGTGATGTTTGTTTCGACATGAGTGTATTTCAATGTATTCTGTCATAGTATATTCATAGTATATTATGGGATGTTACAGTATATCAGTATATCATAGTATGGCATTTTATTCGATCCTTCGTTTTGGAGAGGTGGGCGGCAGACAGCGAGGAGCACTCGAGCGATGGTTTCCTTGGCATCAGAAGCATTTCTGGCCTAGAGTGCGGTAGGCATAATCCCAAACTCCAAGAGTAGTAGCGGTTTGCGAGAGCGGGTAAGGCGATCATGAAATCATAGCAAGCATGAGAGAGAGAGAGAGAGAGAG